GAGTATCAGTAGTTATTCTCTAAATGACCCAATTCTCTTGCATCTAATTTGAGTTAATAGATTTTTATCAAAATAGTGGTAGTCGTATATACTATATTCAAATCATGCCAAAAATGTTTTATTGGATTAAGTTTTCACTTTATAACATGCGTTAATTGATGTATATTTTCCTTTTTGATAAATGTATCTATTCTAAAAATTTATTATCAATAAATGTTTTCAATAAATCGGTTTTTATTTATTACTCATAACCATTGCAACAGTGGGATAGAGTTGTTATCCCTGCCAAATCCATCCTTAAAAAAAAAAAAAATCCATCTTAATTAATAATTAAGTTATCATTGATTTTTAATCATACTTTAATCTAACTTTCAAATACTAAAAGGTTAAGTTTCAAAAAAATTTCATCCTACTCCCTCCATCCCAAATAACCTTTTTTTTTTACTTTAAATTTATTCTAAATTAATTGCTATTTTTTTTATTTTTTAAAGTAAATATATAGTTTTTATTACTTTAACTCTATTATTATTCATTCACTTTAATTACTTATTTAACCATAAAAAATTTTCTTTTATCTTTTTTTTTAGAAATATTATAATTAAATACAATTATTATTTTCAAAATTTTAATTTCAAAAATAATAAAAAATAGTTATTTTAGAACAAAAAAAAATTAATGAATCCAAATTTAAATGCCATAAACAGAAGTAAATAACAGGAGTTAATTGGGCTAGATTAGCAATTGACACCTTCTATTTAATGCTTTTTATAAGGTCAGATTGAAAAACCGTTTCACATTCGCACACTATGAATAGCAAAAGAACAGACCCATATTGGATAAGGATGTGTTTTACCAGTTATGAATAGCAAAAGAACAGACTCATATTGGATAAGGATGTATTTTACAACTTATTCAAATTTCGAATTCCAAAAACAGAGATCATATTCAAAGTTATCTATTATTGAGGGGATGCCTGAATTTCTTCCAAAAATAGAGTTGAGAGAAATGGATTCAACCTCAAATCAATCCATTTCTCCTTCTCTATCTTTTAGTGCCCAATCAGTTCTACCAACTCAAAACCATTTTTTCACTTTGAATTATGGTTAAAAAATAAAAGGGATTATTTTTTAAAGAAATTATTACTACCAGTGGAAATAAAATATCTGTAGTACAAGGCAATAGAATACAAATACAATCTCCAAAAATGGTATACTTCAAATCAGTGGATTTGGAAATTCCGAATATGGTACTTACCAAAAATTTTGAAGGATTTTTTTATTTATGGTATATGGAGAGGTCCACCGGAATCTCTTGGTCCTAACTTTTTCCATGAAAATCAGACCGTGGAATCATCGAACTCAACATCCATTTTGCCATTGATTTTGTTGGTTCACCAGTAGGGTCCACGTGAAGGTCAGTTCCTTTTATTTTGCCAGAGGGCTCCGCTGTTCTAAATGCCAAGTGGAAACTTATCCGCAATAGCCGTATTTACTAGCTTCAAACTTTGTGCATATAAATTGGATTAAGAAGAGTGTTATAGATAATTAGATATTGATCCAGATTAACACTGGGAGTTCTTATGCAAAGTTGTTGCAGAAGAGTGGAGGTGAGGTAGAAAGGTATTCTTGGCCAAAAAAAAAAAAAAGGTAGAAAGGTATGTACTTTCGCTTCAATGGTTTTTGGTGCGTTTTTCAGATCATCAATCTTCTGGGTTCTTAGAATGTAGGAAGAGGATGAGAGATATTCTCTTTGAATGCCTCATGGGTTTTTCCTTGGTTTGTTGATGATTGTGAAATGAGAAGAATGGA